AGCTTAAGTCATTATGTTATGGACAGGGCAGTTTCCTCAATCAGAAAATGAGAAAGTTTTCTTGGTATACAAGAGAATCAGATGTGACTCTTTTGCTTCCAAAGCACACCCAGCTTCCTAAAGATGGCTTTTCAAATGAAGAAAGACAAAACAACAAACAAGATCAGAGAGAACAAAGCTTACAAAGGAGTTAGTTAGCAAAGACTTAGTATCTCCTTCTCCAGAAGCTAAGTGTGCTGTATTCACTATATCTGAAAGAACAAGAGATCACCTTGCCTGCCTACTCTGTCACTACTCAGCCCCAAGAGTGAAGTGGAAAATAGAACAGGAGAGAGGACTCAGGTATGGCTGGTAGGATACAGAGAGGCGAATGGAACTTTCCCCACACCCAGATCACAACATTTAAAAAGACTGTACTAAAATTAGGAAAGAACCTTGAAGCATGGAAGTGATGCTCAAAAGCATCTCACTGAAATTTTCAGAAGAGCTGTCCCTTTCAGAAAATCATATTGACTTGGACCTTCATTGAATATATGGGTACAGAAAGCTTCACCTTCCTTCTCAATATCCACATGAGTACCACCCTTAACCTGACCCCAGATATACATACAATCTATAGGAAAACAGGATGTTTGCTATGCAAATCTAACTTCAGGTCCTCTGGTTCTCTCCATCTGTAATATACTCCTTCTCTAACCCTTCCAAATGAGAAGTTGTTAATCCTCTAATGACTAAAACCAGTAGGCATGGATATCCCCAAGGGAGAGCCTTCCTCACTCCTTGTATTCTAGGATCATTATATGACTATTATGGTTTGAATATGAAATGTCCCCTTCAGGCTCAATGTATTGGCTGCTTGGGCTCCAGCTGGTGGAAGTTGTAGAATGCTTAGGAGAAAGTGGAACACTGGGGCCCTGGCTTTGCAAGTTATATCTCATCCATGGTCTTGGTCTTTTCTGCTTCCTGTCTACCATGATGTGAAAATTTCTCCCACCACAGACTCTCACCATCATGATGCTCTTGCCTAAGAACATGAGTCCAAGGATCCACAGACTAAACCCTCTGACCATGTACCAAAATAAATCTTCCTTCAATTAAGTTGTTCTCAAGAGTATTTTGACCCAAGCTGTGTAAAACCAGCACAATAAACTTTAAATGTATTGTTCTACTGCTCAGTGAGACAAGAGGACGCAGAGCCAGATATAGAAACAATAATGCTAATAAATAAAGTAATGTGACAATACCTATATTTACATAGACTGGAATAAAACACTTAATTTAGTTTCAAGCCTGTTTGTTTACACTATAACTATACCCTCTGTGTAGGTATTTCATTTTTAATTTCTGTAAACAGTAAAACATTTCTTAAAAAACCACCAAGGTCCTACTACTTCAATTGTGTCCAGGGAAAGGAAAAGATTTTTGTACAGGGTGAGGCAAAGTCTTGAAAGGAGAGCAGTAGACTGATGCAGGTCAAATGCAGTAAGGGACAGAAGTCATCAGAGAGAGAATTCCAAGGGGAACCAGTTCCTACATGTAAATTTCCCCACCCAGAGAGCTTCTCTGATCAAACTCAAAATCCATTCCTTGTTCTTCTTTCATAACAGTAGTCATCGCCTTGTATTAAGACTTTAGTAAACATTGACTTGATTTTTTTCCATTTTCATACAATATAGTTTGATGATATTTAGATCCCCCCACACCCAACTTAATGTACCCATATATATAATATGGCCTATAGAGTTTGATTTGTGTCTCTAAATGTACTTCAATGTGGGTCCATCCCCTGGACCCACCAAGAGTCCTATCCCTATAAGACACTGTCTTTCCCCTTCCCAGCAGTCATCAATTGCCAAAAGTTCCTTAGGCTGGGTTGGGGTTTCTTACCCATTTTCTCATGTCTATGCTGGGGTTTTGTCTGGTTTGAGCTTGCATAGGACTTGTCCATGCTGTTACCATTGCTGTGAGTTCATGTAAGAAACTGACCAGCTCTTTGGAAAGCATTGGCTTTTTATATAAGTAGAATTAAGAAATAACTCACAAATGGAATGAATGGCCCTTTACACCAGAAGTCACTAAAGCAGAAATTGAAATTTAGAATCTGTGAGACCCCCCCCAGCTCAATGACTTGCACACACACACACACACACACACACACACACACACACACACAGGAAAACAAACTCCCATTCTGTAGTCCAATCTGGCCTAAAACTTGTAATTCTCCTGCCTCAGCTTCCCAAGCGCTGGGATAACCGGCTTGTGTCACCATACCCAGATCAAAGACTTTAATGTCCAGAGAATGTACATTAAATTTTCTAGTTAGATGTTACTAAGAATCAAAAGCTTTTGTCCTCCAGCTTTGCTGCACACTTACACACAAGAGGGCAGGCCCTGCACAGGATTATTTCCTTTTTTCCTTTTCCCTGCACTGAATGATCTTATAAGGTGAATGTCTTCTTAGTAAAATTCAAGCAATATGTATTCAGTGTATACAGGTACTAAAGGATAATTAAAAAGCTGAATCAGACCCTGCCTCTTATGATTATAATAGGTTAGGTAGGTTGCTTTTAAATTAACGGGGTCTCCATTTCCTCATTCATAAAAAGAATCGGTTTAGCTTCAGTGATTGTTACAATAATTTTTGGTTGGATCCTGTCCATCTGTACTATCTCTACTTATCAAGAATCTGTTTGGCCCTCAAAAGATGTTAGAGTTCCATCACCTCCACAAAATCTTTCCCTGATTTCTTTCTCTGCATTTTTAAGTTTATCACCAACACATCCAAATTAGTATTTATTAATTCTTTAATTGCTTTGTTGTATGTTGATTCATTCACATTTATACAGAAAGCACCTCTAGAGACTAAGCTTTAATTTTTAAAATCTTCCACAGTATGTTACACTTAGCTGGCTTTCAGTAACTATTTTGAATTAATAAAGATATAGAAAACATGTATACAATGGTAACCAACCCAAAGAGCAGCTTACATCAGCCCCCTTAAGACTAATTATCCTTATGAGCAGCACAACTTGATCATCTGATTCTGGAAGGCATAATTTGTGAGACATCAACTGAGATGCCTGTTAAATACTACTAGATTAGCATATTACTGTACACATGATGATTGATCGCTTCCTTGCCCAGTTGGAAAGTTCGAAAGGGCAAAAGTACAAACAAACATTAACTCACGTTACCCCCTACAAGATTTGTTCCTCATTAAAATAGGACATAAGAGAAATTTACCTACAATTAAGAAAATAATAATCTACCAGTAAGGGGCCACAGATCAGACATTAAAGTTACAATCCAACCCTCCTCCTCCTTTTGAATATCATTAGAAGTTCTGAGTAAGAGGAGACTAAGTTAGGATGTCCTGTGGGCGGGGATTTACCCACCCTCACCGGAAAAGCAGTGGGATACAGGTTTTACTTGTTCTGGTCAAACCTCCCCCATCTCCATCTTCACCCTGCCCACAAATAATTAAGGCTTTAGAGAGGTGGTCAGTTCTTCCCTATAGAAGTAAATAAGACCAGAGTAAAAGAAGAATCCAAGCACAGACTTCTTTTTCAGACTGTATTTCACATGGATATGAAGTATTTGAGAAAGGTTTTTATGAAGAAACAAGGATACAGCCTTTATTTTTCCTTCTAAAAGTAAATTTCTTAATTCATCTTTTGTGATTGCCTTAATTTCCATATTCAATGAATTTAAGGGAACTGACACTGTATAAACACTAAATTACCAGGTGTTAATCATGTCTTAACAGCTAACCAATGAAAGTGGGTTGAAATTAAATCAATTTACAAACTTCTCTCTCATGATGAAACAGGACTTAATACCTGAGTGACCACTTAATCTTTACACTATAGAAAGAGAACTTCTTCTGAAGTTTACAGTGTATATAGACTGCTTGAGGGTCTGGACCAAGAAGGGATTTATTCAAGAGTAAAGGGGGTGTGGAATCATACGAATTTATAGTCCTAATTATATTTAAAAACTAGGAAAATACTGATTAAATATCTATGAATTTTCCTGGGGAATCCTAGAAAAAAATAGAGTAAGGTTTTATAATCTGAGGATAATAATGAACTCCTCAAATTTAAAAACAAAACCCGAAATGAAAAATCTGTATTTTTAAAGCGTGTCCCTTGATGCTTTCAGACCTCTCAAACTTGATGGCCTTTTGGTGGGTTTTGTTGTTGTTTCTGTTTTGTTATTGTTTTTGATAGGAGGGCTCAGTGTGTAACCCAGGCTGGTCTAGAACCTGCCACAATGAATCCTCCAGCCTCAGTTTCCCAAGTGCTGAGATTACAGGGAAGAGCCACCACGCCTAATAATTGTTTGTTTTTATCTGGTGTTTCTGATCGCTCAATTAATTCACCTTCTGGGAAAGCCTATCTAGTTTATCCACATACAGCCTGAAGAGGACTAGCTTAGGCTTCCTCCTTTAATCATGCCCACACATAGCATCAGCCAGAAATGGAAAGTACACCAGACCTCTTCGCACGTATTCCTCTGTCTCCACCACCTAACTTCGGGATCCCATCGTCTCACAGCCCTATCAAATGGACAGATATCAAACTGAACCAGAGAGTGGGAGGTATCGGTGCCTCTTTACATCTAAGTCAAGGTCAGTTCTACTCTTCTAGGGTCCTTTGGAAGGAGAAATTACCCCAAACAGCGTTGCCTTCCCATACCCCATTAAAAAGGCATAATCCTGATCCCATGGTGAGCTCCCTCCAGAGTATATACCATCCTATGAGCTCACACCCAGGTGTGACATAGTTTTGAAAGACTTTGAGGTTCAACTTTCTATTGTATCGAGCCCACCACACGAAACACAATCCCCCCGCATGAGTTCGTGCCTCAGTTACCACACACAGTCTAACATAATCCCCAAAGACTGGAGTCCTTTTGCTAGTTTCAAGTCTAGAGTAAAATCCCGTCTGCTCCTCCACAGTGCTGAACTTCCTTTTAAGGAGAAGCTGAGAGGATACAGCCCAAGGTGTCCGCCTCACAGAAGCGCTCCGAGGTCCACAAGCTTCCGCAGCTGTCCGGAGACAGATCCTTACTTGGTCTCTAGTCCTGCCCTCAGCACCACGGACCACCAGCGCAGGCAGCTACTCCATTCTTGTCCACTATTACCCTTCAAGGGGCGGGGCACTGACAGAGCTAACCAGACCCGGTAACCTTGACACCAGGGTATCTCCAAATTGGTCCGGCCAAACGCGCCAGGCGAGCCGAGGCAACAAGACGTGACGTTAGATGCGATTAACTTGACGCGTCGCCCCGACGTCAGCCTCTCCACGGTCGGACGTCCCGTCCGGAGAGCAAAACTCCAGCGACTTTCGGCCCCGCCCCCGTGAGGCAGAGGGCGGCCAATGAGGGCGGCTCTGGGGGGACAGAGGCCAATGAGCGGAGGCCGGGGCGGGGCGTGGGGCTTGAGGGTGGGGCGGCCGGCGGCCGTGGAAGCCCGAGGTCTCGCTGCGCGCAGTATATGACAGTACGTCAGCAGCGGGATGGCCGTAGCTGTGGCGGCGGCTGCAGGAGCCCGAGCAGCCGCGGCCGCAGTGGAGGCTGAAGCCCGAGCGGCGTCCGCGGTGGCACCCCGGGGAGTTTAAGATGGCGGCGGGGGGGGCAGCGGGCCTGCGGGAGGAGCAGCGCTACGGGCTGGCGTGCGGGCGGCTGGGGCAGGACAACATCACAGTGCTGCATGTGAAGCTCACCGAGACGGCGATCCGGGCGCTGGAGACGTACCAGAGCCACAAGGTGAGCGGCCCGC